CTCAAGGAAAAAAAAAAAAAAAAAAAAAAAAAAAAAAAAAGAAGTTTTCCATCCAAAGTGAAGAGTCGATTGGTTCTTAGCAGGTGCCTGTATATGCCAGACAGTTACAGTGTGGGAGGGCTGGTTTGGGTGAGAACAGTGCACCCTTGTGAGTGTCCATTGTGGTGGAACTCAGCTGCCATCTGTGTCCAGAACATCACCGGGTTACTTACACTAGTGAAGACAGTAAGTAGCCACATTGGATCAGGGAATACCTTCAAAAGGAGTGGTGTTTGCTCTAGACATCATTGCCTATTTTTCCTGGGAACTCAACTTTTGGTGGCTGTGTCCTCCTATTGGCTGTTGTCCTGTCATTCAGTGCTTCTGTCTGTGGCCCTCATAGGTGAGGTGGCCCCACTTAGGTTTAACTGTGTCCTCTATCATCTGGAGGGGCTGCCTTGGTGGGTGGCTCTCTACTGTCCTCCAGGGAGAAAGGAGGTGTGGACTTGGAGAGTATGTTTACATCTCTTTGCAAAGTCTTCTACATAGAGATCTATTTATAATTTGCTCAAGGCAGTTGAAAAAGGCACAAAACCAGTGATTTGGGAGTAGTCTTGAGGGAAAAAAAATCCAGTTTGGCTTTCCCAAGGAGACATAAAAGGACCATTTGTTCATGACACAAACAGCATCCATCATCATGCACTTCATGGGTTTTGCTATATACCTCTGACATCTGGGCCATGGAGGAGATGGCAGGCTGATGGCCACAGCCAGTGCTAGGTGGAATATGTAGCCTTGGCTGGGAACATTTTCTGTTTGGTTCTAGTGAAGCAGTGGAGCTACCAGTCAGCAGCTTTCCTGCCCATGGGCCCTGAGCAGCATCTTATCCCGACTCATAACCATCGAAAACAGCTAAGATGCTGAGGGGTTGGAAGGTGTGTCTTCTTTAGCCTCAACTAGAATAGCTATTAGGGGCAGGTAGAATATATTTTCAACACAGGACATTCTGGAGATAGGGAATAGGTGAAGCTGAATAAAGAAACCAAACAGAAGGTTTTTCAGTACAGAGAGTATTGAACTGAAAGCCTTGTGCATGCTAGGTGAATGTGAAAGACCCCCGAAGAGGTACTTTCGTAGAGGGAGACCCGCACCCAGGAATCAGCGAGACCACAAGCTTGGATGCAAAACCGCAAGAGGCTTTATTGGAGATACGGGTACCCGGGCGACTTAGCTTTTGTGAGGCCAAGCGCCCCGAGCCAAGGGAAAGGGGTCCTTATATAGGGGAAAAAGGCGCAAGCTAGGAGCAGGGATTCTATTGGATAATTCTAATGAGGCATTGTACAGAGCTATTCCCATTGGTCAATGTATATGAGGCGCTATACAGGGTTATTCAAATGAGGCAAAGTACAGAGTTATTCAAATGAGGTGAAACATAGAGTCTCTCAAATGAGGCGAAATACAGAATCATTTCTATTGGATGGTTCAAATGAGACACAGAGCCATTCCAGATCAGCATATTCTCAAGGTCTGGTTTCTGGTGTCTGGTACAGCAGACTCAATTCCCCCCCCCCTTCCTGATGGCTGACCTTGGGGGCGGAGACCTTGGG